TAAAGCTACAACTAAGGCTAAATCTAAAGCTAAAGCTAAAGCTAATGCTAAAACTAAAGCCAAAGCTAATGCGAATGCGAATGCTAAAGCTAGGGGGCGCAACTGGGGGAACCGCTCCCAGGGGACTGGGGGAACCGCCCGGGGCGGGTTCCACTGCCCCGCCCCTTTAAGCCAAGACAGTAAGAACCCTTTTAGGCAGAGCCTAGGTAGGGAACAACAACAACCACAACAACAACAACCACAACAACAACAACAACAACAACAACAACAACGACAATAACGACAACAACGACAACAACAACAATCATTTTAAGACTGATCGCTCTTACTTGCCCGTGTGTCATTCACAACGAGTTCCCCACACCCTCGATACCCGCCCTTTTTGTCTTTGATCACACCCCTTTTGGGGAAATTATTTCTCTTTGCGGGGGGCGGCGGGCTTGGACAGGCGGGCAACCCTGAACGGGCGGACAATGCCTCGTGGGCGTACATGTGCCCGCCAGTGGAATTGGTGTGAGCCCTGCAAAAGCAAGAGGGGGAAAACGAGGGAGAGCGGGAGGAAGGGAGGGGGAGGGACGAAGGAAGAGGGAAAACGCCAGGAGAGAAGGAGCGAAGAGGGGGGCGGCTGATTCGAGGCAGAGAGAGAGAGAGAGAAGGAAAAAAAAAAACAGATAAGAGAGGTAGAGAGAGAGGGGAAAGAGAGAGAGAAAGAAAGAGGGAGGGAGGAGGCAGGAGAGGGGAGGGAAAAGGGAGGAGGGAGAGGACGGAAAGGGGATAGGGCAGAGAGGCATCAGGATGAGGGAAGAGAGGAGGGAGAGAGAAGGGAGGAGAGGAGGGAGGAGGGAGGAGGGAGATGGAGGAGGATCAGGAAGGTAAGAGCGTGAACGTTCGAGGAAGTCCTCGGCGAAAGCGCCGTTCCTGAAGGAAGTCTCGGGCGGGAGCCCACGACGGGCGGGCGATCCCCTGACGGGCGGGTCGGGCGGGTGGGACATTCAAGCGGGATGCCTGAGTATGGCGAGAGCGCGATTCCAAAGTAAATTGTGACGGCGTCCTTGGCGCAGCGTGTTTCCTGAGCGTCGAAAGCGCGATCTCTGAATACAAATTCCATGGAAATCGCAAGCGAGAGCGCAATTCCTGCATAACATGTGAAGGGTCCTCTGGTGGGAGCGGGGGTGTTGATTCAATTGCGAGGAAGTCTTGACTCAATTGCGAGGAAGTCTCAGATGGGAGCGGGGGTCCAGACTAAATTGCGAGGAAGTCATAGGCGGGAGAACCGATCCTGAGTAAATTGTGAAGAATTCTCAGGCGGGAGCGGGGGTCCTGAGCAAATTTGGAGGAAGTCTCAGGCGGGAGCCGTTGTTGTTGTAATCCGGGGGGCCAGGGGCACATTTTGAGCATCAAGACTTCCCCTGTCAAAATACAGGGTGCGAGCGTCGAGGGGCACACTTTGATGGCGAAAAACAGTTTGCACCGGTGAGGGGGGATCAACAATAATAATTCTTCAGAAATGAGAGTTCAGCAACAACAGCAGCAACAACAACACCAACAACAACAGCAACAACAACAGCAATGAGTTTAAGACCATTTGCTCCTTTCTGCTCGCGGGCCACTCAACACGTATATCCCAAACCCTCGATACCCACCCTCTTCGTCTTCAATCGTACCCCCTTGGGGACATATCTTCTTTACCTGCCGCGTGTAATTGGTGCAGCCCTTGGAACTGGGGAAGAAAGGAGAAGGATGGAACATTGGATTAGCAGGAGGGGGCTAGGAGCAGAGAGAATGTGGCAAAACCAGACGGGCCCATCGGGTGGGTAGACCCTAACGAGCGGGTCTGGAAGGCGGACCCACGCGGCCAGGTCCAGAAGGCGTGTTGCTGAAGCTTGAGCACTGCATGATTCGCGAAGAAGTCTCGGGCGATAGCGCGATTCCCAAGTAAAGCGTGAGAAAAACCAAAGCGAGAGCGTGATTCCTGAATGTCGAGGGCGCGGCGTCTGAATAAGTTGCGGGGAAGTCCCACGCGACGGCGCGATTCCTGCATACCTCGTGAGAACGTCCAGCGCGACAACGCGACTTTGGAACCAATTGTGAGGAAACCGCAGGCGGGCACCATTGAATTCTCATTACTAAAGAATAAATATTGTTGGCCCCCCTCCGGGCGACATTGTATTTTTCCATTCATGTTCTTCTCTTAGGGCTCGCACCTCGTTCTTTACAAAGGAAAGCGGGGGGTCACCAAACAGGGCCCCTGGCCCCCATCTTACAACAACAGCAGCAGGAACAGTAGCAGCAACAACAACAGCACCAACGACAACAACAACAACAACAACAACAACAACAACAACAACAACAACAACAACAACAACAACAAAACCAGCAGCAGCAGCAGCAGCAACAATAACACCACCACCACCAACAACAACAACCACAACAACAACGGCTGCCGCTTGATACTTCCACACAAGTGTATTTCCAAATCGCGCTCTCGCGCGGGACGTCCTCACACTTTATACAGGAATCGCGCTGTCGCGTGGGACTTCCCTGCCATTAATTTAAACGCCGCGCCCTCGACATTCAAGAATCATGCTCTCGCTGTGGATTTCATGATGACCTATTTCTAGAAATCGCGCTATCGCTCGAGACTTCCTTGCGACTCATGCAAAACGCACGCGTCAACAACCCACCTCCTCGACCTGGCCGCCTGGGCCAGCCTTCCCAACCCGCCCGTTAGGGTCTACCCGCCCGATGGGCCCGTCTGGTTCTGCCACGCGCTTCTACTCCTAGCCCCCTCTCCTGCTATTTTCTCTCGTGCTCCATCCTCCTCCCTCCCCCTTTGCCACTTCCTTCCATCCGTCCCGTCTTCCCCTGCCTCCGGGGTTACACGAAATACACAGTGCAGGTAAAGCATACCCCCGAGGGGTACGATCGAAGACGAAGAAGGCGGGCATCGCAGGTTTGGGATATACGTGTTATGGCCCACGAACAGATACGACCGAACCGTCTTTAACGATTGGTGCTGCGGCTGTGATAATCAGGGACCCTAACAACGCAATTTGGTGGCACCAAGATGTCCCTGATGAAAAACGGGTGGGGGCCCTGAGGAGGGCAGTACAACTGAACCATACAACTGTTACCAGACAAGGAGGGGTCAGTAATTTTTATTCTAAGGGAATGAGAATCCAACACCGATAGCAACAACCACAACAACACCAACAGCATCATCAACAACCTTACAAACAACAGCAACAACAGCAACAACAGCAACAACAATTCCCATTAGAGCTGGATCCAGCTGTAACACAATCCCACTAACGCTGGGTCCCGCTGTAAAAGAGTACTAGTCGAGCTGGGTCCAGCAGGATCCAGCTCTAGGCACAATCCGTGAAGGGAATGCATAGGACCCTGTACAGTCTGTAGAGGGATTGGACGGAGCCCGATGCAGCCCGTGGAGGGACTGTATAGGATCCTGTACAGTCCGTAGGCAGGATCTGATACAATGCGTAGAAGAACTGCGTAGGACCCTTACAGTCTGCAGAGGGACTGGTTGGAATCCAATAGAGTCTGCAGAGGGACTGCATATATTCCTGTCAAGTCCGTTGAGGGACCAGACGAGATCCTGTACAGTCCGTAGAAGGAATGTAAAAAAAAACTGTACGGCCCGTAGGGGGCCGTATGGGATCCGATACAGTCTGCAGGGGGACAATCAAAGATCCGATGCAGTCTGTGGAGGGACTGCGTAGGATCCTGGACAGTCTGTAGAGGGCTGCATAGGACCCGATGTGAACAGTAGAGGAGCTGGCCGCCCCAACGGAGCTCCCAGAGCACATCTGCTCGCGTGCCATGCAATACGAGGCAGTACGCATCTCCCGGACCATCGATGCCCACCCTCTTGGTCTTTGACCGTGCCCCCCTGGTGGGATGTATCGTCCCTCCCCGCCACTTGTACTTGGAGCAGCCCTGACAACAGGAAGAGCAGCAATCATTGGAAAGGGAAAGAGCGAAGAGGAAGGGATTGGAAGAAGGGAGGGAGGAGGCAAGGGGACAAGAGTGAGGGAGGGAGAACATGGAGGACGAGAGGGACCAGAACAAAGGACGATCAAGAGAGATAGCAAGGAAGCTTCACGCGAGAGCGCGTTTCCTGGGTAAAATATGAAAAAAGTCCCGGGCGAGTGGGCGATTTCAGAGCGCCGAGGGAGCGCCTCGTGAATAATTTGTGAGGAAGTCTAAAAGCGAGAGCGCGATACCTGGACCAATTGCCTGGCAGTCTCTAGCGAAAGCCACAGTTCTCATCCAATTGAACAAACAAAAAAAAACATGCTGCGGGAGCCGTTGTTGTGGTAAACAGGGGGCCAGGGGCGCAGTCTGAGGCGCAAGCTTTTCCCTTTAAAAAACAAGCTGCCAGTCCTAGGAGGGGCACTTCAATTGAAAAACCCAACGGGCACCGGAGGGGCGGATCAACAATAATCGTTATTTTGAAAACACAGGTCAACAGCAACGAACAAGGAGGACGATACCCCCCCGCGCTCACCATCCCCTTCAACATCTGGTGGCTTTCGGGTCATAACTCGGGCCTCCAGCGGCCTTTCGGGCAACCCCAGACGCCTTTCGGCGAAGCGTAGCTGTCAGAAGGCACCCCGAAACTGGAGAACTGCCGAAAACTTACGAAAACGCCCGGAAGCCTCGAACCCTAGCATTGCACCCTCTTGGTTTTCGGGCCATGACTCGGACCTCCGGCGGCCGTTCGGGACAATTCGGGCACCCCTGGAAAGCCCTCGACGAGGCGCAACTGATGGAGATCTCGAGATCTCCCGGGGTCTCGAAAACCTTCGAAAACTGAAAAGGACTGATGAACAACCCTTGAATATGTCCCGAGAAACCTCGACCTCCGAGTCATGGTCGAGGTCCTCCCCCCCCCCCTCCTCGTCCTCGTCCCCCTTCCTGGACGCCCCCGAGAGGGGGGGGGATGGCCTCCCTGCCGGGCTCGGCGCGGGCGAGCGCGCCTTTCGACCCGCACGGGATCCACTTCGCGGTCCCGCTCTTCGAGATGTCGAAGAGGGGGTCGATGTGCTTGCCTGGCGCCCCCCAGAGGGGAGGCCCTCCGCTCTGGGGCCCTCGGGTCCGCCCCGAGCGCGGCGTCGTCTCGAAGACGCCCCGCGTTCATCATGGGGCGCGGTTGCCCCCATGACGACGGAACCGGATCGGCAGGAAATCGTCAAACATCGGCTGACACGTTGAATCGGCAGAAGCCGGATCGGGCGAAGCCGAAATCGGCATCGCGCATCGGCATGTCCGCATCTAGTCGGATTGGAACCCTGGGAAATCGTTTCGAGTCGGCCCAGCGGAATCGGAAAGCACCCTGGGAGGGGAGGGGGACGGGGAGGAGGGTCCCCAGGTTTCTATTGCCCAGGCTTCTGTTGTCTTGAAGATTTCGATACGGAGGCTCTTCGTCGAATTCGGAATCTGGGGGCCCTCGCCAGGCCCCAGGATCGCCATTCAAAAAGGGATGCAAAAACGGCCCTGGTGAGCGAGTCGGGACTTCCAGGGAAGCCCGTATTTCGAAAAAACAAAACATCGGATCTCGTGTAACCAGCCTCGAGCTGTTCCCTGTCCCTAAGATCGAGAATCCCAGCGGCAATGACGACCTTATGGTTGTGCCCTTCCAAGCTGAGCGAGACCTCAAGAGCGCTACAGGGATAAGGTGATGCCAACTCTAGGGATAAGGATCTGCTTCAGGCTAGTAATCTTGGCCGTCGTCGAACGTCGGAAGTGGTGCCATGCCGTTCTCGCATGCACGCGAGTGGTCTTGATCGTACGAGTGCCACTTCGGGATGCGGGAGGGAGGCCGGAGGGCGAGAGGAAGGTGGGAGGAGGGGGGAGGGGGGAGGGGGGAGGGAGGAGGGAGGGAGGGAGGAGGGAGGGAGGAGGGAGAGGTAGGGAGGGAGGGGGAAAGAGGAGAAGGGAAGGTCGGTCGAACTCGTAATTGCAGCAGTCTGCAAGACACTCTGAGAGGGAAGGAGGGAGAGAAGAGGGGGAGAGAGGAAGGAGAGGACCAGAGACGAGGAGCAGTGGGGCGAGGGGATGGTGGCGGACCATACAAATTCGCAAGCATCTCGGAATATCTTCGTCCTTCTCTTCCACCACCACCTCCTCCTTCTTTTTCTCCTCCGACTGGCCGATCAACTCGGCCGTTATAAAAACCTCGAAGACGCTCCGCAAATCATACTGGCGTGCACCATTAACACTGCCTTTGTGCAGTCTGCGAGGTGCCATCCAAGCGGTGCAAACTATGCGGTCATGCGGTGCAGCGAATGTGCCCAGTAATATTTGCGGCGCCACCCACGGTGCGCACCGTCCACGTGATGCAGACCACTGGATGTAATGAATGGTTGAAGAACTTGGTGCCGCCAACCCCACTGCTCGAACAAAAACATCTCACCGAACCACTGAAGAACTTGGTGCCGCCAAACCCACTGCTCGAACAAAAACACCTCACCGAACCACCCGCAACTTCTGTGTAAAATCCATCTGGCGCAATGACGCGAGGACCTCTTTTTCATGCAGATTCATGACTCGGGCAGGCGAGTGATGATGGTGACGACGACCTCGGCGACGACGAAGATGCGGATGATGATAGTGATGATGGTGGCGATCACGAGACGGGCTACGACAACGAAGAATACGATGACCACGATGGTGGTGATGACAACGACGATGGTGATAGAGATGGTCGTGATGATGATGATGGCGATGATGATGATGCTGATGGAAATTTTGGCGCTGGCGATGATGATGACGATGGTGCTGCGGAAGATGATGAGGAAGTGCGCGCGCGCAGAAGACCGGACCGCTTTTGATTGAATAGCCAGTGGCTTCCATATATGGTCCAGGGCTTGGGCCCCCCCCCCCACCAATGCTGATGCCATTGGGCCCCCCCCCCCGCGCGATGGTCCCCCCCGCCCCCCCCTGTGGGCGTGGCGTGGTGCTGCGCTGCGGTTCCCCCCCCCCCCCCCCCCCCCTGTGGATGTGGTGTGGTGTTGTGGTGGTTCAGAGGTGGGCGTGGCGTGGCGCTGCGCTGCGGTGCCCCCCTCACCCCCCCCTGTGGATGTGGTGTGGTGCTGTGGTGGTTCAGAGGTCGTCGTCGTCGTCGTCGTCGTCGTCGTCGTCCTCGTCGTCCTCGTCGGCGTCGTCGTCGTCGTCATCGTCGTCGTCGTCGTCATCGTCGTCGTCGCCGTCGTCATCGTCGTCATCGTCGTCGTCGCCGCCGCCGCTGGCGTCGTCGCCGCCGCAGCCGTCGTTGTCGTCGTCGTGGTCGTCGTCGTCGTCGTCGTCGCCGTCGTCGCCGTCGTCGCCGTCGTCGCCGTCGTCGCCGTCGTCGTCGTCGTCGTCGTCGTCGTCGTCGTTGTCGTCGTCTCTGGGACCATACCATCTGGGGGAGGGGGGGGGCCCGAGGAATACTGGGACCATACCATTTGGGGGGGGGGGGCCCGTGGGCCCTCGACCCTGGATCATATATGCCTGAACACGTCTGTTTGACATGCTCAGAACACCAACAAGCTTGCAAAGGATTTCGACATGCTCGCGCGGGGACGCGCACGTGTGGCCCGCATGGTATGGCTTGAGAGAGATGGCGGGCGCGCGATGATTGCTGAATGGTTTCGGCCTTCGCGAGCGTGTGGCGCGCAGGGTGTCGTGCGGCAGGACATCACAAACCATTTCAGCAAATGCGCACGCGTATAAATATTGCAACATCTGATGGAGCAGCAGTGTTTGTTTCCAACAACGCTTGTTTACATCCTTTCACAACCAATGGTGTTGGCCGACATTGTGTTCTTCGGCGCCGGTTCATTGAGCGTGCGCCTGTAAGATCAAAGCGAGTGTCCCACACAGTATGACTTGACAAAGTTGAAGGGAAACATTGCGGGATGGGGGGGCATGGTAGGAGATCAGACATCGGGCGAGCGATCGTGCACCATGGGTACGACAGCAAATTCGAGAATTTGAAGCGTCAAGCCTCACCTCGGCATGGCGTGCGAGTGCTGCAACAGTGAAAGCCTCGGGCCATGGAGTCTGAGCACAAGTCCCAGGCGAAAGCCGCACTTTGAAGACGAGCCGGTCTCCGTGCCTGTAGCTGCGGGGAGCATTTCAGAACGAGTGTGCCCGGCGCTGTGGCGAGAGCCCAGCTCGCTCATGTCTCCTTCTATTTTTTCCTCCGTCCGACACTCAGGCGACAGCGCAGAAGCCAGGGAGACTGCCGCGAAAGGCGCCGGTACGCCCCTGCAGGGCGCTGCAGGGGACGCTCCGCGAGGGCAGTCAGAGAAATCGTCGTCACGGCGGCCGCGCACCGAGCGCACACCGAGCAGGGCTCGCTCGCGCAGGGCTCCCGCCGCAGAGGGGCCCGCGGCGCCTCCTGGAGGAGGAGCGGGGGGCACAGCGCCGAGGGGGCGCGCGAGCCACCCAGCAGCTGGCCCCAGCACGGGGTGGGCGCGCCTGCTGGTGACGGCGCCATGGGGAGGAGGAGGAGGAGGAGGAGGAGGAGGAGGAGGAGGAGGAGGAGGAGGAGGAGGAGTGAGCGAGCGACGCCAGTCACGAAGCGAGTTTTCACGAGATCACGAAGCCCGACGGGCCGCTTCAGGCGTACTTTTGAGCGTTCGGCCAACTGCCCAAAAGCATTCCACCTGAATGATCGGCTCTGGCGGTGTTCGGGGCCCTGGGACATTCGTGCCCAAGACTCTCTCAAGCATCTGATTACGTAGCGCAGTGAACACGCCGACAGCAGAACCAAAGCTTAAGCCCCTCATGCAAACGCATCCTAGGAGGAGGAGGAGGAGGAGGAGGAGGAGGAGGAGGAGGGCGACGGAGGGAGGCAGGTCCCCGCTTAGGAGCCGCCCCCCAGATCGCCGCTGTGCGGACAGCCCGTGCACAGAAGCCTCGGCCCTCGAAATCTGAAGCCTGAACCTCCCCCCCCTCTCGCAGAGACCTAGGAGCCCTCCCGGGGTCCATCCTGCCAAGAGCGACCCTAGGCAAGAGTGGCCTTTGGTGCGCGGCTTGCTGGCCGTTGCGTGCGGTGCGACAGTGGCGGCCTACGTGCCCTGGGCTTGGCCCCGCAACGCCCCCCGAAGCTACGTACCGGAGGTCACGCTGGCGAAGGGTCACTCCTACGTGCAACCGGCTTGCACCCCGGATCGGTGACCGAAAGCCCCAGGGCCCCGAAACGGCCCCAAAGGGCCGAAACGCAAAACCGAACTATATGAGAGCTCTCCGTGCGCGTGAACGCGAGGAGCCTAATCATGGAGCCCCTCCAAAAACACAAAAACGCTCAAAACCTCGCGACCCTCCCACTTTGGAAGACTCGAAGACGACAACGACGACGACGACGACGACGACGACGACGACGACGACGACGACGACGACGACGACGACGACGACGACGACGACGACGACGACGACGACGACGACGGCGGCGGCGGCGGCGGCGGCGGCGGCGGCGGCGGCAGCGGCAGCGGCGGCGACGATGACGACGGTGCCGACCATGACGACGACGGGGCCGACGGCGGCGACAGCAACGGCGCATCGCCCGGGGAACTGAAAGGCACTGATGCCGCTACTCCCTGGACCTCTCCTGGGGTGCGTGCGGACGAAAATTTCGAAACGAATTCGGAGGTGGCGACAAGGGCCTCCCAGGAGGCCCACAGAAGCGAAACCGAGGCCAGGTATAGCGGTCTGGGTGCCTCTTTCGTCCTCGGAGCGAGGGCTGCGCCGTCGGCGAATCGCCGGCAGCGGCGACGACGACGCCCCGCCGCAGTGCGGGCAGCCCTTGCACGGGAAGGCGAGCAGCCCGCTCCCGGTATCCAGGATCACCGACACCCGCTGGGCCGGCGTGCCTGGCGCGGCCCACGCGCGCGCAGGTCGTGAGGAAAACCGCACGAACACCTCGAGCCTCGAACCTCGCAAACCCCTCCCTCCCCTCCCTCTCTTGCCCGCTCCCTCTATCCAGGATCACCGACTCGCACTGGGCCGGCGTGCCTGGCGCGGCCCGCCAGGCCGAGGCGCCGCCGCCGCCGACCGCCGCCGCCGCAGCCAGAGGTCGCCGATTTGAGGCCGCCGCCAGAGGCCGCCGATCGGAGGCCGCCGCCGCCGCCGAGGGCCGCCGCCGGCTTTGCCTCCTTTCTGGGCTCTGGGAGGGTCCGTCCTGGGCCCCCGGGCCGGTCGGAATCGGTTTCGATTGGTGTCGATTCACAACCGCTCGCCAGCCAGCATCGACGAGGACTCCAGCACCGAAGCCCTGTTGCATCGCGGATTCCAGGATCTCCTCCAGCACAGCGGCAGCCGTGGAGACCAAGAATGGGCGAGGCTAGTAAGCCCGCGTGTCCCCAGGCACAGGCACCCTCTAAGCAAATTGTATGTTTCGTGAAAGGTCATCAGGGGTGTTGCTAGTGCTGTAGCAGATATACACACATATGTATAAACGCCAATCGGAAGCTGCCGCCGACGACTGCCGCTGATTTCGCATCGTTTTCGGGCTCTGGGGGTCCGTCTCGGGCCCCAGGGCCATCAAAAACCGATCTGGGAGAAACGATCCGCGACGAAAGCCCGATCCTGGGGATGGGATCGAGATCTATGAGGCCCCGCGTCGTGAGAACACGACGTCGGGGGTCTGGTTTTAGGTGCCGAGACGGGCGAAGTCGTGAAACAAACACCCCGCCCGAATCTTAAGTTCTTTCAGCCCTTTCTCCCCTTCCTGCCAGCCTTCTGAGAACGCCTGGCCCCTTTCAGCTCCCCAATCCGCGCACCGCCGATCGGGTCATAGTTCGGATCTCCAGCGGCCGTTCGGGACGAACCTGGCCCCCCCCGAACGCCCTCAGCGAGGCGCGCATCTCGAGGCTGGAAAATTGTTGCGAACTGACGGCGACGCCCAGAAAACTCGAACCCCCAAACCTCAAACCTCAAACACCTCCTCCTCCTCCTCCTCCTCATCCGCCCCTCCTCCTCCACCTCCTCCTTTTCCTCCTCCTCCTCATCCTCCTCCCTCTTCTTCCTCTTCCTCCTCTTTCTCCTCTTTCTCCTCCTCTTCCTCCTTCTCCTCCTCCTCCTCCCTCCCTCTTTCCCTCCCTCCCTCCGTCCCCCCCCTCCCTCCAGTCTGGCTTGTTGTTGTTTGACCCACGAAGTCAACAGTGCATGTCCTGAGGTCTGTCCATCATGCTCTGCTCTAGCACGCCTGCTTGTACAGCTCTACCTAACAACTCAACGTACGACTCTGGTCCTCTTGACTTACAGGGGCCAAGGATGAATTCAAGGAATTGTAAAAACAGTGCGGAGTTACCGACCACGGACCCCCAAAGGGAGATAGGCTTAGCTGCACCTAAGGGTACATGGAGTCGACGCTGTAGAGCTTCTCGTAGAAACTGTAAAGCCGAAGAATCTCGAGGTTAACGTCAATAATGCTTGTCTATCAACATGCTGCCTCGTACTTAACAATGGGATACTCGGGGTCGAGCCCCAGTTCGCCTGAAGCTCTCGAATGGAAGGTATACATCAAAGTCAGTCCGCGCGTTTGCATACGCGCAGCTCTACAGATGTAATGACGCAACCAGTCACCAATCAAGTAGTTCAAACACTGTCCACACAGAAGGTGATTCAGCCCACGACGGCTTCATGTTGACGAGGTCGTTCTTAATTACACGGATGGCCACTGCATCTAATGTCGCCACCAAACATTCAATGCCTTTACGTGGTTTCAACACGCCAATAGCCGTAGGTGATCAGGTCATACAGAAGTTCTGAGATCATGCTGTTAGTCATTCATTATGCCACCATCGCCGTAGTCGGGCACCACAGTAAACGCTTTTTATAGTTTCGAAGTCTGCCTTCACGAACAAGACGAACAAGAAGAACATACAATCGTTGGTGCCGATCTTTTGGCACGTCCTTGAGCTCCACCCTTAACTCGAAGAACTCAAAGAAGTCTCGGCGATAAGTCTACTGGCCCACTGGAATCACACATTCGGCATTGTCCTGTACAGCGATGAGATCGGTCATGGTGCTGTGATCATATAGCGGCAGCTGAATGCCTGGCACGAAGATCTGGGCAAGTTGCGCTGCAAGCATCGGAGCCAGCTCTTTGCCAGCAACTCCTGCCAACTTTTTTCTGCTCTCAATGTACCTCCTGCAACTCGTTTTGCCTTATGCGATAATGACGCGATGATGTGTGCGAGCTTGCTGAGCTGCTCCTTCGAGTCCTGCACCTGCTGGTATGGAGTAGATTTGGTAGGGGCCAGAGTCCTGCACCTGCTGGTATGGAGTAGATTTGGTAGGGGCCACCGGGACTTCCTCTCAGAGCCAAAAAATACTGCTTCTTGTGCGCACGAGCCCCCAGAAGTCGTTCCAATTGAGTCGGCCACTGTGTCGATGACGAGTGGTGGTGTCAGCCTGAGGCAATAGATACCTTTGCCCTCCGGATACTTCTTCACTCGAGCCAGTTGAGTGTTTGCCATCTTGATACGCTTGATCGTTGCCGACTGAGTGTCCTGCTGAATACTCACGGTATCTGCGACTGCGTCCAGCCTAATCTTCCACCAAATAGCCAATGGAATGCTGCCAGCTCAGTCCGCACAAATGGAGAACCGCCCTGCTGCGCCCTCGTCTTGTTGAGTAGTACTGGCTGCAACTTCTGACACAACTTATCTTTAGACTTGTTCATGCCGAAGTCCGTCATCTCGTGCTTGACTCCAACGTGCATCATAGGTGGCGCTTGTCCTGTAGTGTAGAGAACTGCTCGTCCTTGACTCCAACGCGCTTAGAGAACTGTTCAAACGACTCATTCAACCGTGGAAGCTTGCTGGCGTTGTTGTTGCCGTCGAAGCAGGAGGTCATGCTGGCCTGAAGCTCTCCGGGTGATCTCGTCCAGATACGAAAACAATCATCAAATGCCGATGGCCTGCCACCAAGAGTCCCCGTCGTAAGTATTTGCGTAACCACTTGAAACGCCAGGGGTGCTTCGCTCAAGCCAATTTTCCATCTTTATGCTACATGTTTCGAGTCAGATCGATCTGCTAGGGTCCTGGGGCTCGAAAATAAACGAAGACGCCCGACCCGAACAAAGATCCAACGGCACCTTGACTCACTTGAGCATTCGTCATGGAATTGTGTCAAAATCGCACCCGGAAAACACATATCATGCACACTTCCGACTTCTGGATCATTGAGCAAAGCATGGTGGAAACAATGACGGCAAGGTAAGGCGGAAATCGACGTCAACGGAGCTTGAAAGGTGGGGCGGGAAATGCCCGCCCTACTTGCGAAATCGCTCCCACTACGGCTGATCCGAAGTTGGGGCCTTCTTCTCATCAGCAGCCGTCCATGGCTTCCGTTGTTTTCGGGCCGTGACTCGGTCGGGCCCCTCATGGCCAGTTGGGACGATCAGGACACTCCAGGAACGCCCTCGACGACGTGCAGCCACTGGAAGGCATCCCCGGGCTGGAGAACCACCGAAAACCGACGATCCGAAAACCAATCCCTACCTCTCATCATTACTCATGGAGTGCATTCTGACCCAGCATTTCAAGTAGACCCCTGCCGCCCGCCGCCCCGAGCCTATTGTCAGGTCGACGTAGTAGTAGGCGTAAGACGCGATATTGCCGTACAACCGCGCCGACTCCAGCTTGAGCACTGGGCCCGCCAGAGCCGCCCGGGAGGGCTCTCATGCGGCGGTAAGACAAGTGAGGCGGCGGAGGAGGAGGAACAGAAAAGCAAAAAACTGTACAAACAGAAACTTCCGGAGGTCAGCGCGGATTTCTTGGATCCGAGCTGGAACCCCCTCCGGAACGCGCCAGGGCGGCGCTGGAGGCGCCGCCAGGGCGGCCCGGCGCCGATCCCCGAAATCCGCACGGATCTCCAAAGGATCATGTTTATGCAGTTCTTCTCTTTCGGAAGGAAGGAGGAGGGAGGAGGAGCAGGAGGAGGGGGAGGAGGAGGCGGAGGACGAGGAGGAGACGGAAACGACGAGAAGGAGGAGGAGGAGGAGGAGGAGGACGAGGAGGAGGAGGAGGAGGAGGAGGAGGAGGAGGAGGAGGAGGAGGAAGGGGAGGAGGAGGGTGAGGAGGATTGCCGTGTACATGCGGTGACCATTTGCAAGGGCGCACTTGCAAAACTCAATTCAGAAACGCCAGCGTGTCGTAGACGACGAGGAGCACGCCTGACTCCAAGTATCCAAAAAACAAGACGTCGAACAGTGACCAATAACCAACAGCATCAATTCTCGCATGCCGTCAACCACCGCCACCAAGACCGATAACTCTGAAAAACACGATGCGATGCTGAAGAGAACGTGCCCAGGAGCACGAAGAATAATACCGCCCAACCGACATTCACACGTGCCCGCGGGGCCCCCTCCCACGGCAAGACAACACAGCCTAAGTGCCAAGATCAAAAACCTCCAACACAATGCCACGAAGAAGCAGCCAGGGCTTGGGCCGCCTCCGAACGGCATTGGGAAATTCCCAAAGCCAAGAAAACATAACCACCTCGACCCCTGTCGAACGGCAGGGGTCGCGCGTCGGGTTTGGCTACCCTACACCACACAGACGTACCCGCAACCACACGCCACGGTCGGCCGTGCTGCACCGAACGACGGTGTGTACGACATGCAGCAAGAAGGGGAAAAGCATGCGAGGAAAAAACCGAAGCGCACCACCAATCACAATACGCCGCCAAAACCCACCATGCCAACGCGCCCCAGGACGACAAACAATCGCCTCGAACTTTGAAATTCTGTCCAGGCCGCAACCAACACCTGCACGCCCCGCCGCCCGCCCACCAGGAGACCCCGCCCCATGAGCACGAGGAGGATCACTGGGAACGCGTGCAGCAGCACCGTGCATACCGAGGTGCTGACGGGCGAATTCAACCGGGCGTTGCCAGTAACACCAGGACATCACGCGGCAAGGGGCAGCGCACCATCCCGTAATCAGCCCCGAAACTACGGCCGAGCGGCGCTGCAAGAAACAACTCGAGCCACCGTGGCTTGAGCCAAATGGCTCGAGCCATAGTGGCCACGGGGGAGGAGGAGCAGGAGCAGGAAGGAGGATCAGGAGGAGGAAGAGGAAGAGGAAAAAGAGGAGGAGGCCAAAGAACAGGAAGAGGAGAAGTAGAAGGAAGAGGAGGAGGAGGAGGAGGAGGAGGAGGAGGAGGAGGAGGAGGAGGAGGAGGAGGAGGATCTTGGTCCTCGGCCTCCCCAGGGCCGCGTCGGGCCCCGCGGTCGCCAGAAAGCGAGCCGCGCCCGCGCGGGGGGGGGAGGAGCTCTGCGTCGCAAATGTGCGCTGCGATCGTGCCGCGCCCGCACGAGGTCGGGAACGGCAAGGAGGACGACGACTGGTGGCTGAAACTCTACGCGCTGCTCTCGCGCGCCACGCGCCACGAGGACCTCATGCCCACGCGGGCGCCGCGGTTCGAATTCTTCGCGGCAGGGCCGCCAAACGGCTTGTGGAAGCAGCTGGAACAGTTAGCGGCGCGCACGAGGCGGTGCGGGAGGGAGGCGACGGCCCTCGCCAGGGAGCGGGGCTTCACCGAGCTTATCCGCGGGGCCTGACCAGGGGAGCGGCCCGCCCGAGCCTCGCCTTTTTTTCGACGGTCTGACTGTTTGGCACCGCGCCGCGGACGACCCGCGCGCGTCGCTGGGACTCTCTCGGGGCGACCAGCGCGCGTCGCGGGAACACCATGCTGCGCTCTGCCCAGCGCCTCGCTCGCCTGTCGTCGCTCTGCCCAGCAGCTAGAGACTTGCCCGCAATCAGCCAGCAAGCTAGCTAGCTCTCTTTGCTCCGCGCAGAGGACGACCCGCGCGCGTCGCTGGGACCCTTTCGGGGCGACCGGCGCGCGACGCGGGGACTCCGCGCTGCGCTGCGCCCGAAGCATTGGGCTTTGGAGTGCGCGCGCACATATGGAGAAAAAGAAGAGGAGGACAACCTTGGACGGTCTAGCTTCAAACAGATCACGGACAGAGGGGACCACACCAAGACCCTATAGGGAGCTCCACCGAAGGCCCCAGTGGCAGCGCCCGCGTACCGCCGCCATTCCACTTTGGCACACCACTCACACGGTTCGTGCCCCCGTAAGGGGCTCCACCGAAGACGATATTGGCAGATGTGGTACCCACAGCTGCATATGGTTGGGTCCTTCGCCAGGCTAGTTTTGACAGTACCAGGGCCTGGCGAGGGCCTCTGGAGGTCGAAAACTGCTAAAACCTTCCGTCGTGGTTTCATTTCCTAATAGGAGGAGGACGGGGAGGAGGAGGAGGAGGAGGAGGAGGAGGAGGAGGAGGAGGAGGAGGAGGAGGAGGAGGAGGCGCCGCCCCCAAACTGTCGATCCTCTCGGCATTCTGCCCAACACGTGAATCTAGATTGAAAGATTTTTGCCCCTCAAGAAGCGTATGCTTGAGGTTATCTCACTGCGCTGGGGAAACCACTGAGCGGATTTGCCCTTCCGTCGTGATTTCGCGACGCGAGCATGTCGGTGAAGCAGAGCGCACTGCGCCGGAGACTCGAGGACCAGGCGGGCCAAGCGAGATCGGCAGCACGCGCGGAGGAACACGGCGGTGATGCGTCGCCGATCGCAGACGTCCGCTGCGAAGGACCAGCAACAAGAAATCGATCGGCGGCGCACCGGGGGGGCGAAGTTCGGGGGCTTCGGGATCGAGGTTCGAATTTTTGGGCGTTGCCGTCTGATCTCGGCGGAATTCCAGCCTCGGGACTTGTTCCAGCGGCTGCGCCTCCCCGAGATGCGACTGGGGGAGCCTGAATTTTCTCGAACGGCCGCCGCATAGGCGAGTTCTGGCTCGAAAGCTAGACGACGATGGTCACTGAGGGGCAAGTGACGTTCTCAGAAAGCGGCGGGGCTTCTCAGAAAACCCGGCCTCCTGAGAAGCCGTCGGCGTCTTCGGGGAAGGACTGGAAAGCTTCTCGGAAGGCCTTCCGAGCCTTCTGCGAAGGCCCGCTCTGGCGCCCCCCCTGGGCGCGCCTTCCGAGTATGGTCTTCGGGTCATGGGCCGGGCCTCCGGCAGCGCTGGGGGACGATCCGCGCACCCCCGGAACACTCTCGGCGAGGTGCAGCTGCTGGAGGGCACCCCGAGGCTGGAAACCCGCCGATATGCCACGAAAGCTCCCGAAAACCTCAAACCTCGAACCCGAAACTCCAAAACTTCCCCCCCTGGGCGCGCCGACGAAGTTTTCGGACGGCGCCGAGGTCCGCCGTCAGAGGATGGCCGGCGGCGTCTGCGGCGAGCGCAGAGGCCACGTGCACGGACCGATGATCCTAGGAACGCGTGCTATCACCAACGCGTGCTTGAGCACATTTTCTGTTGTTCGTGGCAACGCCCGTGACCGGCCGCGGTCCCTCCCTGCCCCCCTCAGTTGACGCCCGTTATCGCCAGGGGGTGACAAGAAAGTCTCCTTGTCCACCGAAGCCCCTCGATACGATGCAGGAGGACCACCGCAGGCTGGGTGCTACTATCAGGGCTGATCGGGGCAAACACACACACACACACACGCACACACACACACACGCACACACACACACACACGCACACAAACACACACACACACACACGCACACACACACACGCACACACACACACACACACACACACACACTGGGCCAACAGACGCTCTGAGGATCATCGAAAGGAGGGGCCCGCAGGACCGGAGGGGCTGGGGCCTGGAGGGGCCAGAGACGGTTTTTCTCTAGATTCAAGCAAATTTACTTGCATGGCGTCTGCCCCCCCCCCGCCCCTCGCTCCTTTTCGCACAAGTACTACCGTGCAAGTTTCTTTCGACTTGCGCGATTCCCGCCGACCCCCCCTCCGGGTGCAAGTGCACGGGGCCATTGGGGCATCAAATTGCTTTGCTTTCTCTAAACAAATTTGCATTGGAGTTCTAGCGAAGCTTCCTCAAATAGGTTCGGAGCGCCCCCCCACCTATTTTGCCATTACGCCATGAAGCTCCCCTATGCGTTTTCCCCAAAATTGTTCATCCATGCGTTTCCAATCGTTTCCCAATTATTTCTCAGTGGTCTCCCAATGGTGTTCCAATGGTTTGCGAATGGTCTCCCAATGGCGTTCCAATGATTTCTCGAAGGCTTTATGTGGGCCCAAAATCATTCTTCATGGTTTCCCGATGCGTTTTGATTGCATGCGCATGCACTTCTTGCATTTACATGTTGCTTGCATCTACGTGTCTTGCATTTCGCTTGTCTTTGCATTCACTCTCATGTTGTCTGCATGTGCTTGCGTTTGCCATTGCACTGTCATGCACGTTGCGTGCTGGTTGTCAATGGTTGGTGCCGCACGCGTTGCTGCCCTGTGGTCGGCGCATCTCGGTTAGTACTCTATGGTTCTTACCATTTGGTTCGCCATGGTTGGGACCCTGTGGTTGGTGCCCCATTGCTGGTACCTTGTTTTTAGTGCCTTATGGTTTGGTACCATACAGTATGGTAGGCACAGCTTATGTATGGCGACACGGTGCTCTTCACAAAAAGAGCTCCAGAAGCAGGATGGATGCAGCGTCCTCGTGGAACCTAGGGGGGGGCATCTTGGGATACTTGATGCCGGGAAGTAATCGAAGCTGCACATGCGGCGCACCCATGGCAAACCCTGCGGGCGTCTTCGATTTGCGAGCGATTCAGTTGCGTCGGCGTGGAGACCCCCCCCCAAACGTGAAAGTTGTTTCTGGTTTGCTTGGGGCGCGCCCCCGCCCAAGTCGATGCAAGTACACTTGCCAGAACCTAGAGAAAAAACGTCATGCCCAAAGATGATCCCAGCGCTGACAGCAATTCCATCCCCATTCCCATCTCATCCCCCGACCCGGGGACTGCCAAACAATGATGCTGGCGCCGCGTGTAGCACCACCCCCATCCCCTCCCATCCCCGCCCCAGGGACTGGCCAACGATGGTTCTGGCGCCGGGCGTAGTAGAACCACCCCCATCCCCTCCCATCCCCCGACCAAGGGACTGCCCAACGATGATCCCGGCGCCAAGCGTAGAACCACCCCCATCCCCCGACCTAGTGCCGTAGTGTCTAGTTGGTCTCGGCGGCAAGAGACACAGGGCAGGCCTTCTAAGAAGGCGGCGAGGCTTCTCAGAAGCCCTCCTGCCTTTTGAGAAGCCGTTCCTGCCCTCGGAGCTCATAAGGCTTCTCAGAAGGGCATTGCCATCCGAGTCTTCTGGGAAAGCCCGCCCCCGCTGCCTTACCCCCTTTGGCGCGCGCGCGCCGCCGATAGCCCCATACCGAAATCCCAGGAGCCCACGTGATGTGATGGACCCGTGGGGGACCTGCAGACTGGCGCGAGGGCCAGGACTGGGAGGGGCCAGCCCCGAGTCCGGGTCCGCCGTACCTTTGGAGATTCGTTGGCGATGCCGTAGGCAGGGCGGACAATCCCTGTGAGGAGGAGGAGGAACAAATCACGACGTCGGGGGTCTGGGTCAAGGGGGGGGTGAGGACCAGCTGGGGGGATATCATTGCTGGGGTCATGGTATCTCTCTCCCCAGATTTCAAGGCGCCTCCTCCTCCTCCTCCTCCCTCCTCCCTCCTCCTCCTCCTCCTCCTCCTCCTCCTCCTCCTCCTCCTCCTCCTCCTCCTCCTCCCTCTTCTTCAAGATCCTTTGATGCCGATGTCCGCCGTGCGCTGCCGTCGCTGCTTCCGTCATACCTTTCCGGAGACATCCGCCCCAATCTTCTGAAGGCGGAAATGCCCGACCAATTTTTGTCGCACCGTCGGGAGTGCCTCTCCGGCACAGTTGCACATCGAGGAATCAACCATAGCGCCGCGGATCCAGAGTCCGGAAGGGCCAGGCGGTGCCGGGACCGATTGAGCGGGGTGACGGGGTGGCGGGGATTGGGCTGGTCGCGGCCAGCTCCACAGAATTTGCGCGGGGCCGCCGCCCAGATCCTCCTGAATAGAAATCCCCTCGAGGATAGGACTAAACCGAAGTTTGCAGTAGGCTGCAGCTGGACGCGCAGAGCGCGAGAATACACAAACAGATGCGAGCGGGAGTGAATTCTCGACGTTGGCGGCGCTCTTGGAGGCGAGGGCGGGGAGCAAGGGAGTCTGGGGGGCCCCCTCTCCCCCCTCTTCCCCCTCCTCCTCCTCCTCCTCCTCCTCCTCCTCCTCCTGCTCCTCCTCCTGCTCCTCCTCCTCCTTCTCCTCGCCCTGGGCCCCCTCGCTCACCCTCTCCCCCGCCACGCCCTCCTCCGCCACCTCCTGTCCCCCTCCCCCTCGTGAACGCTTGGTGGCTTTCGGGTCAAAACTCGGGCCTCCACTGGCCGTTCGGGACGATGCGAGCACCCACGGAAAGCTTTCGACGCGGGGCGGCTGCTGGAAAGCGTCCCCAGAGGGCTCGCTAACGACGATTTCCGGAAGCGCTTTGCACATTTCGGGTGCGACCGAAATCTAAGGAGCACGACCACGTTTCGGTAAAGACCGAAATCTCCGATGGCATGCCAACACCAATATGCAACCAAGATAAAACCGATAGTCGTCACCGAACATTGCATCACCCGCTACCGAAAATGGTCGGTGCGACGACGCAATCCGGTATCGCCCTACCAGAATTCGCGGCCGCACACACCAGTTTTCGCAAACACGTTTGACAAACAGTTGCCCGACAAACTGTTGCCCATGACCAGGCTTCCGACACACGTCTGTTTTGAGCAAATCGCGCGACAAACGTGTGACAAACACTTATCGAACGTGTATCGTGAGGCATGTGTGCGAATTTCAGTCGCTACCGAAATCTCGAGACCAATGTTTTGCACCACTACTTATTGATCGTGCCGCTACCCCTACCGATGTTGGTCGTCATACCGCTACCGATGTTGATTTGCCTTGCATGTGTGTGTTCGCTGCCGAAACATGCTGCGAAATCGTTGCGACCGAAATTCGCGACCGTGTTAAAACGCTAGCGACAGATTATGGTCGCGAACTTCCTGGATCTCGAGGCTGAGCCCCGCCAAGAACCCACGAATACGCCCGACAACACATAACTTCCCGAAACGTCCGCCTCCTCCCTCTCCTCCCTCTCCTCCTCCTCCTCCTCCTCCTCCTCCTCCTCCTCCTCCTCCTCCTCCTCCTCCTCCTCCTTCCCCTCCTCCTTCCCCTCCTCCCCTGCATCGTCCTCCTTCTCCTTCTCCTCCCCCTTCTCCTTCTGTTCCTCCTCCTCCTTATCCTTTTTCTTTTCCCTCTTCTCCTCCTTCTCCTCACCCTCCTCCCCTCTCCCCCTCCTCCTCCTGTGCCTCATTCTCCTCCTGCCTTTCCGTGTCCTCCCCCTCCGCCCCCTCCTCCTCTCCTCCCTCTCCGTGTCCTCCTCCTCCTCCTCCTCTTCCTCCTGCTCCTCTTCCTCCTCCTCCTCCTGTTCCTCCTCGTCCTCCTCCTCCTCCGCCTCTACCTCCCCCCCCTCCTCCTCCTCCTCCTCCATTACATTACCATGTGGGCAAGAGGCACGCGTGCCAAGGATCATACAATCACGGATGCGGGATAATGGGAGATGGAGATGGCGCCAACCTGTGGCAGTTTCGGGGAAACGCGCGAGTGCTGCGACACGCTGGCGAGTGACCATAATGGGGGAGCGGCGAATAGCAGCATGGCTGTGGACGCAGCGCCAGGTTCGATCTGAAGGCGATCTTAATCTGACGGGAGAGGTTTGCGAGGCTTCAACGGCGTGTTTTATAATCAAGGCCCCCTGTATGAAGCGAAACGCTTGGTCCCAAGGTCCCAAGAGAGAGGACGCGATAGTATGCGTAGCCAAGATCCGCCACCGTGTCCTCAGCACGTTGCGGAATGCCCCCAGGGCTCATGGAGCCCTGGGAGGCAGGGGGTTGTAAGGTTCTTAAGGGCCCCGACCCTTGGTTTCCCAGGCGCTCTTGCGCGCGTTTGCGCGGGCCTGGGGTCTGTCGCGTGGGCTTTCAGGACGCTGCGAGGGCACGGACACGGGCCAAGAGGGCCCTCAGAGACTCCCAAAACGGTGGAAAAGGGCCCCAAGTCGTCGAACGATCGGTCCAAGACGCCCAAGGTGGCCTCCAGACGGCCCAAGATGCCCCCAAGACGCCCCAAAATGCCTTCAAGAAACCGTCCGAGAGGGCCCCGAGAGACACACACACATAACATATGGTTGGCAAGTGTTTGAAATATTGCTCGCTCTTGGGAGCCTTGGTGTGAAGGGCTTGTTACGACACTGTGAGCTCGTCGGAACCATGGTGTAATTTGGCGCCACGGTCGGTCGGTCGGAATAAGCAGAGAGGAGGGGGTGCACGGGGGGCCACGGTCGGGTAGGGAGGGGGAGCACGATCGGTCGGCCGGAATGAGCAGAGGGGGGGGGGCACGGAAAGGGGGGAAAGGAAGGGCACGGGGGGCAACGGTCTGGCAAGGGGGGGGGGAAGCACGGTCGGCCGGTCGGAATCAGCAGAGGGGAGGGGGGCACGGAGGGAATGGGGGGGGGCCCGGGAGGCCACGGTCGGGCAGGGGGGGGGCCGATCGGTCGGTAAGAACAGGCAGAGGGGGAGTCACGGGGGGAAGGGGCGGGGGGGGAGCACGGAGGGCCACGGTCGGGCAGGCGGGGAGAGGGCACGGTCGGTCGGTCTGAATAAGCAGAGGGGGTGGCCACGGCGGAAGAGGGGTGGGCATCGGTCGGTCGAAAAAGAGGGGGGGCACGGTCGATCGGTCGGAATGATGAGCAAGGGGGGGGGGGGAAGGGGGAAGGCGCGGGGGAGCACGGTCTGGCAGGGAGAGGGGGGGGGGGGCACGGTCGGTCGGTTGGAAACTAAGCAGAAGGGGCAAGGGGGGAAGGGGGGGGCACGGGGGACACGGTCAGTCAGGGGGGGCGGGCCCACGGTCGGTCGGTCGGAGTAAGCAGAGGGGGCGGGGGCCGGGGGGAAAGGAAGGAGGGGGGGCACGGAGGGCCACGAACGGGCTGGCGTGGCGCACGCACGGTCGGTCGGTCGGAATGGGAGGAGCACGGGGGCCACACACGGTCGGGCAAGGGCACGGTCGGTCGGTCGGAATGAACAGAGGGGGGGCACGGGGGGAAGGGGGGTCGAGCAGGGGTGGGGGCACGGTCGGCCGGTCGGAATAAGCAGAGGGCAGGGGCACGGAGAGAGGGGGGCGGGGCGGGGAACCACGGTTGGGCAGAGGGAAGAGGACACGGTCCGGAATAAGCAGAGGGAGGGGCACAAGGAGAAGGGTGGGAGGCACGGTGTGCCACGGTCCAGCAGGGGGAAGGGGGCACGGTCGGTCGGCTGGATTACTTAAGCAGATGGCGGGGTCCACGGGGGCACGAAGGGCCACGGTCAAGCAGGGGGAGAGGGCACGGTCGGTCGGTCGGAAAAAAGCAGAGTGGGGGCACAAGGGGAGGGGGGGTTACGGGTTGCCACGGTCGGGCAGGGGGGGGGTTCATGATCGGTCGGTCGGAGTAAGCAAAAGGGAGCGTCACGGGAGGAGGGGGGGAAGCACGAGGGGCCACGGTCGGGCACGTGGGGTGGCACGGTCGGCCGGTCGGAACAAAGAAGCAGAGGGCGGGCCACGGGGGAAGGGGGTGGGGGTGCACGGGGAGCCACGGCCGGGCAGAGGGGGGGCACGGTTCATCGGTCGGATAAGCAGAGGGGGGCCAGGGGGGAAGGGGGGGGTGCACGGGGTCCACGGACAGGCAGTGGGGGGGGGGGGGGGGGGGGGAGAAGGCACGGTCGGTCGGTCGGAAGAAGCAGATGGGGGGCCACTTGGGAAAGGTGAGGGGGGCACAGGGGGCAACGGTCGGGCAGAGGGGGAGCACGGTCGGTCGGTCGGAATAAGCAGAGGGGAGGGGGGGGGGAAACAAGGAGTAGGGAGGAGTGCACGGGGGGCCATTGTCGGGCGGGGGAGAGGGGGGGGGCACGGTCGGCCGGTCGGAGAAAAAACAGAGGGGGTGGGTATGGTGGACAGGGGGAAGGCACGTGGGGCCACGGTCGGGCAGAGGGGGGGGGGGGCGGGGGCACGGTCGGTCGGTCGGAACAGGCAGGAGGGCACGGGGGGAAGGGGGGGGGCACGGGGGGCCACAATCGGGCAGGGGGGGAGGGGCACGGCTGGTCGGTCGGAGTAAGCAGAGGGGGGCACGGGAGGAAAGGGGGGCACGGGGGGCAACGGTCGGGCAGAGGGGGGGCACGGTCGGTCACCGACACATCCCAGCACCGAGCACGCCGAAGCAGTAAGTACACCGACACATCGCAGCACACCCAGGGGGGCTGCGACCAGCACACATCGCAGCACATCACAGCACGCCCACATATCCCGGCACACCCAGCACACATTCCAGCACATATCCCAACACACAGATCCCAGCTCACGGCGGCAACACACATCCCAGCGCACCGAAGGAGTACACCGACACAGGCCAGCACCGAGCACACCGAGCACACATCCCATCATACCCAGGGGGGCCACGGCCAGCATACATCGCAGCACACCGAGTCAAGCAGACATTCCAGCATACGGAGGCAGCACACACCTTGGCACACCTCCTTACGTCCCAGCACCCCCAGCGCACATCCAGGGGGGCCACGGCCAACACGGATCGCAGCACACCGAGGCAGTCACACATTCCAGCACACGGAGGCAGTACAAATCCAGCACACGTCTTGGCACACCTCCACACATCCCAGCACCCCCAGCGCACATCCGAGTACGTCCACACATCTCAGCACACCGATCCCAGCACACCGAGGCAGTGCACGGACACATCCCAGCACCGAGAACTCCGAGGCAGTATCCCAGCACCGAGCACACCGAGGCAGTACACCGACACATCCCAGCACGCAGCCTGGCGGAGCACATCGAGGCAGTCACGCATCCCAACAGACGGAGCCCAACATATATCCCAGGCACGGTCGGCCGGTCGGAATAATGCAATGCGAGATCACACCGGTAGGTACGATAATCACTCCTCCCTGTCGCACCCCGAGGCCAGTCGGAAGGTCGGGCTGGGCGTTTCGCGTGAGACTTCCTCACCGTTGATGATCCTGAAGCTTAATTTGTAACAGTCTCACGGATGGATCGCGGATCGCTTTCAAAATGTGGCTCCCGCCGAAACGCTGCGGACATGTGGTTTTCCACGTGTAGCTCTCGCCTTAGCTCCGCGCACATCGGTCTTTAAACATGCAAGTGTTTCACAGGTGGAGGGCGAGCCGTTTTCAAAATGTGATTCTCGCCTTGGCACCGCGCACATTCGTCACAAAGAATTGCAAGAATTTCACGGATGGAGGTCGGTTTCTTTTCAACATGTGGCTTTCGCCTTAGCGCCGCGCACACTAGTCATATAACATTTCAAGAGTGAGTTTCACGGGTGGACGGCGGTTCCTTTTCAAAATGTGGCTCTCGCCTTAGCGCCGCGCATCTTCGTTTTAAAAGTTCACAGCACTTTCAAGGAGTCTCATGGGTGACGTCCCAAAGATGGTGCTTTGGCGCGATGTCGGACTATTAGGGTGCAACCGTTACGTACGTTGATTCGTGGTGTCGAGTCCCACGACTCGTGTTCTGGCACGATTCCGGATCGTCAAGACGCAACAGTAGCGGTGATCCGCGGCATTGATATCCCAGGAACGGTGTTCTGGCACAGTTCAGGACTTTCAAACGGTTGTTTTCCAACGGGGCACTTCCTTCAGTGAATATGATTGCTTGTCGGGGCCTACGAAGAGGAAGCTTGTAGGGAGGGTTTGTTGCAATATCGTTGATGAGCCTTGGGTTTACACTGATCCACCTCCTCCTCCTCCTCCTCCTCCTCCTCCTCCCCCTCCTCCTCCTCCCCCTCCTCCACCTCCTCCCTCCTCCCCGGCGTCTTCTCTTCTCCCCCTCTCTCCCCCGCGCGAGGGGGGCGGGGGAGGAGCGCGCGGCGCGCTCCGGCGGTGTGGCGGGTGGCCGCGCGCATCGTACACGCCGCGGCCCACGCCGGCAATGTTGACCCTGCCGCCCCCCAAGGGGGGAGGAGAGAGGAAGAGGGAGGGGGCGGGAGGCGGGGAGGAGGGGGCGGCGGGAGGGGGAAGGAGAAAGGGGGAGGGAGGGAGGGAGGGAGGGAGGAGGGGAAGGAGGAGGAGGAGGAGGAGGTGGAGGAGGAGGAGGAGGAGGAGGAGGAAGAGAGGAGGAGGAGAAGGGGGGAGGAGGGGAGGAGGAGGAGGAGGAGGAGGAGGAGGAGGAGAGGAGGAGGAGGAGGAGGAGGAGGAGGAGAGGGAGGAGGAGGATGAGGAGGAGGAGGAGGACGACGAGGAGACGGAGCAGGATTACCAAGCTCGCTATAGGCTTTAAGGGTACCTAAACCCATCTTTGAGGATTAAGCGGCCGTCGGAGAAATACTGGTGCCTGCGAACTTGCAGGACAGTCCGAATCCAGTCTTTGGCCAAGAGCAGGACCCATCCTCAAAGTCGGAGGCTGGCAGAAAGCTATCCACCAGTGGCTGGCGCTACGTGGGGGGAAAGTACCCATAGTTACCTTTTACTTGCCAACGGTCGTGAGGGAACCAGTCCCGGTGATCCCTGTGACAGGTTTCGGCCGTATCTCGGGAAGTACATCCTTGGGCACCTCCTTGGGTACATCATTGGGTACTTCCTCATGTACATCCTTGGGTGTCTTCTTGGGTGTCTTCTTGGGTACCTCTTCGGGTACCTCCTCGGGTACCTCCTTGGGTACCTCCCAGAGGGTTAATGACAGGTCCAACCCTCTGAGGTGCTGGGACTGGGACCTCCAGGATGAGCAGCGGTCAACAGCCTCAACAATGCCTGGCTGCATGTTAAAATTGGGCGGCCCGCGTTGCGCGTGTCCGCAGACGCACTGCGGCACAAGGGGTGGGGTGCGACGAAGGGAGGAAGACGGAAGGTCGAGCGGAGTGAGGAGGGAGGCAAATATAGCGAGGGCGGGAAGTCGAGGGGAATCCAAGCGTCGAGAGGCGTGTGCGGGGGCGGTGCAAGATATAAAAGGCGCTTCGGGGATGAAAACGATCCCAGCCGCAAACGAGCTAGGGGGTTGGAAAGAGGAGGTGGACGGATGGGGGGGAAGGAGGAGGGAGGGAGGAGGGGAGGGGGGAGGGCAGGATCAATCAGCATCGGATTGGAAAATCGGGTCGGATATAGGAATGTGCATCGGACCGGGCCGAATCGGCACGGAGCTGAAATCGAATGAAATCGGCAGCGCCAAGATGCACAACAACGCCGCGCAAACATCGGGCCACATCGGATCGGCGGCGGATCGAAATCAACCCTGGCACAAGGGTAAAGAGGAGGAGGAGGAGGGGGAACAGGCAACAAAAGTAAAGGCGCTTCGGGGACGAGTCCGGTCCGCGCCACAACAGAGCTGGGGCGGGCGAGCTCATAACACCCCTGCGGGGAGGAGGAGAAGGACGAGGAGGAGGAGGAGGAAAAAGATGAGGAATGGGAGGAGGAGGAGGGCTGGGGAAGAGGAGGAGAGGAGAAGGAGAACGAGGAGGGGGGAGGAGGAGGAAGTGAAGGGGGAGAGGGGCGGAGTGCGAGAAGGGAGAACAGCACCTCCGAGGCTCGATGACGATGGTTTTTTTTTTTTTTTTTTTTTTTTTTTCACCCCTGATCCCCAGAGCCACCCCTGAACGTACCTGGTGCAGCATTAGGAGCCACACTCCCTTCGCCACTGCGCTGTGCAGCGGCACCCAAAAGGGGGCGATGACCGCGAGCATGCCAGCGGCCTCGCGGGCCACCCTGGTGGCGCACGCCACGGGGCGGCTCCGAGGGCCCCGAAGCAACTGAAACATCATGCACTGCCAGAGAGGAGGAGGAGGGGGAGGAGGAAGAGAAAAATACAATAGCCTGGCTCCTCCAGGCATTGGCCACAATACGGTGCCTCCGAGCAGTGACCCTCAGACGAGCCTCAAAATGCTGCTCAACCGAGCCAGGGACGCCGAGACGACGGTTATTGTGGGACGCAACAAAAGCATCTATACAAACGGCAAACAGAACATTTGATGACATCGGAGACGGTGACAGCAGAAGGAAGGGGAGGAGCCAGGGAGAACCCTCAGGTAACCAAGACGACGAAATAAATAAGTGACCAAGCCAACGACGGAAGAGAGCAGCAAGACGAGGGCAACGACTGTAATGCTCGACAGAATCAAGATCCTGAGAACCATCATCTCGGCATCCCAACAGGCAACCAGCAGATCTGGCATGAAATCTACGCGAGGAACATAGACCACGGCACAAGAAACGATATATGCCTACCAACAGATATGGTTGGGTACTCTCGACTAGGACGAACGAGTTCAGTAAGAAACGATCCATCATCGGAAGAGTTAGCTGAGGGAACCAGGCCGAAATCCGACGATAGAGAATACTGCGGGCATCTTCACGAGGGCCAAAGTGCTTAAGACAGCGAGCGTATAGTAGAGCTTGGAGCTTGCGACTAGACTCATCAACACGCAACGGGATGCTCGTGTACCATTCATACAGTGTGCGCATATAAGAAAGAAAGCTGGATTTCCACCAGCCGGTGCGAACCCGAACCATAATCACGTCGTCGTCAAACTCGAGAGAAGATAGACGGGCGAACACTTCTAAAACAGCAGGGCGCCTCAAGATATACCTCAAGCATGTCGCTCGGGCCAGCGACGCCAGCTCAGGAAACTCAACTGGAAGATTAAGCTGGCGAAGCTGTGTACACATCGCATAACTGAATGCATTCCTCGGCCCAGCTGTGAGAAACATGACAGACTCACGATAGGCGTGAAATAGCTGCTTGCTTATGGGGTTGAGCTGGAGAATAAAGCCAAGCACGGAAACACACATGACACGGAAAGCAACAGCAGCACGAGTAAGACCCAAGCCCAGGCGGCGAGAGGTCCCCACACGGAGTCTGAACTTACGAAGAGCCTCCGACCAAACCTCAGAGGATCCCGAGGACCGATACACATCCCAAGATATTTGACACAGTGAAGCACTTGAAGCCGTTTGATGTCACCCTTCAGAACTTTGACGGAGGACCGAACCCAGGAGATCTCAAGATTCCCAACCAGGAGTAACTGACACTTGTGATAGTTAAGACGAAGCCCCGCAATACGTTCTAGGTCTTCCAACTTGTGAAAGACGGGCCCCAGCGATGTAAATATATCAGGAAGACCGAAGCAGAAATCGTCCGCATATGCCAGCGAGAGCGATATGTGAGACGCGAGCGATGCTTGGACCCATCTGAGCAAAGGGTCAGCCGCCAAGACAAAAAGAAGCATGCTGGATGGGCACCCTTGCTTCACTCCTCTCCCCATGCAAATCCTCCCATGCCTCTTCCCTCCCAGTACAATAGTAGCATACTGAGCTTGATACAGTAACGTGAAGAAACGAATAACAGCAGAACTGATGCCCATGCGGGTAAGCACGCGCAGAAGCCATTGCGTCGCGAGCGAGGGGAACGCAGCACAGAAGTCGGTCATCAAGAGGCCAGCGTTGTCATGACCTCGTGCATATTGTTCTAACCCCCAGGCTTCTGCCTCGACAATGTTGGCTACCATGTCCCTGGCGTGCACACACTTCTGGGCAGGCGAGATGAGGGAAGAGGAATTGGCAGCAAGCGGGATCGACATAATACCCGCTCGGATTTTAATGTCAGTATTGCTCATGCTAAGAGGACGGGTATCTTGCGGACGACGGGAGACACGAGGACCATCATCACGATCATCTGAGCCTTTCGGGAGGAACACCATAAGACTGTGACACATATCAGCAGGAAGAGATTCGACGGTGCCGTGAAAGAAACATAAGTAGGCATCGTAAAGAGCACGGCAAGCGGGTTCGGCTCGCCAAGCACGGTAAGGAATGCCATCAGGGCCAGGCATGCCGTGGCATCTGGCGCGAACGTAGTCAACAAAGGTAGGATAAGGAACCAGCCACTCCATTGGAAGCTCCTCGGGTAACGGCTGAATGCGAGCCGAGACCTGAGGCCAAAGGGATTCGTCAAGTTCACAAGGGGAGAACACTCCAGCCCAATGATCCCGAAGAACTTCCGCAGACCGCTCCAAAGAGACGCAAGGCTCCCCAGACTCCTCATAGATACAAGACACGGCGGTACGGCTTCGAAATCTCCTCCAGAGTTCCTGAAAACGAAGAACCCGGGCTTTCAAGTTCTGTTTCGTCGGCTCAGGTGCATCAGAACGCTCAATCTCCTCTTGTTCCTGGTCCAGGAGCTGCATCTGGATGCAACGAATCAGGGCGCAAAGGCCCCGAATATTCGTGCACTCGAGCGTGTGAACGTTAAAGTGAGAAGACAACGTGGGGTAACACTTGAGCGCAGAACCAATCATCCATCCCTTCCTCAACCTGACTCCCCTCAGTGCAAACATCGCCCAGTGATGTTTCAGCTCTAAAGACGTAGCGACAGTGACCTTCAAAAGCTCGCGGATTTGCTGGGCAGCCACAAACATAAGAGCTTTGATCGCCTCCAAGCGGTCCCACACGGAGAGATCCCTCGTGTGCGCATCAAATTCGACCACCAAGGCTTCAAGTAGGGAGGAGAAATCAGGATGTGCAGCGATGTGTTTGGGGATGGTGGGGAAGTCCTTGGCAGGAGTGAATGGCGACAGAGAGGCAAAGACAGGGATGTGGTCGCTCGGGGAGCGAGCTTGAAGGCGGCCAACAACACCACATCGGACATCGTAGTCCCTAAGATAGGCCTGTGGTAACGTGGTATATATCCGATCGAGACGAGCCGTGTGTCGAATGACGCCATCGCGAACCTCCCTCCTCGTGTCGGACTCCTGATACACCTCCGTAAGCGTCGGAAACATGCGGTGAAAAAGGCGAGAGTGGGCCCGATCGCCATGCGTCCATCCGCTCCCATCTCCTTGCATCCTCCCCTCTTCCTCCAAAGCAAAGTTAAAATCACCAATGAGCATGCAATGCGCCGAGCCAGCCTCCTTGACTGCTGCTTGAAGAACACGCAAGGCAGCAGAGTATGTGGCGAGCGTGTCGCTCGTGTTGGGCATGTGAACGTTAAAGAGGACAAACGCACCAGAGGGGCCAATACACGTCGTTTGCAGAATACGACCAACAATAAGAGCCTGGTGGTAAATACGAGGAAAGATGACCGAGACCTGAGGGCCCAAGACAGTAACCACCCCACCTTCACGTTGAGAATCCTCGAAACCCGAGAAACCGATGTTGACTCCATGAGAAGCCCCATCCAGCTCCTTGCGGAGCTCTTCAATATCACCAATATGACCGTGAGTTTCCTGACCACAGGCGATCTGAAAACGTCGAGAGAGGGAGAGGAATAACTGATACCTCGCACTGGCACGCCACGAGCCACAGCGCACGCTGCTAAAAAGACCGTGCGTGTTCCAGCTGCAGAGGGACAGTGGGCACTCAGGAGAGAAGGGAAGACAATTGGAGCGGGGAGGTCTATCGTCACCGATGTCATCAACAGTAGGAGAACCAGAGGAAGGAAGAGGAATGCTGGAACGCGGCAGAGCAGGCGGCAGACAGCATTGATCATCGCCGAAAGGGCGAGCGCAGCATCACCGCGGCGGCAGAGCGGAAAGCCTCAGCGTGCTGGTGAATGCCAAACTCCTCCAGGGCTGTCATGTCTAGGTCCAGCTCGACGGAGGCATCGTCCGAGACCAGCCGGAGAGAAGCAAGCACGACGGGGTCATCTTTGGCACGAAGAACGTAGATGCTGCCGCCGACGCCATTGCTGTTGACGTCGTATCCCCTAGGACGCAAGAGCTGCGTCATCTCGTGCCTCACCCTGCCCATGCTGAGGAAAAGTTGGCGAAAGCGAGCATCTACATCGCGACGAAGGCGAAGTGAGAACGGCTGTTGACCCAGTGGGTCAGGAAACTCAAATTTGCCATCAGCTTCGAACCGCAGGAGGAAGTCGCTCGCCTCCGTCGCAGTCTCGAAGTGGAGAGAAATCTTACGAGTAAGATCAAAAGCTTTGATCACGATGCGAGCGTGAGAAGCCGAGGGCGAGTACTTGGTGCGGATCGCCTCCCCTATGGCCTTGAGCGTGGAGGCAAGCATCCGACGCGGGAAGCCAAGGACGATCAGCTTCGTGTGGTTGTCATTCGTCTGCTCCGTGCGCACAGTGCTCTCAACGCGCGTAGAACGTGTGGAGCCTGCCGAAGACAGAAAAGATAATTTCTCCTCAATGTCCGCAATCTTCTTCTGGACGTGAGAGCTAGCAGCAGAGGAGGAGTCAGAGGCAGCAATCGGCGTCGGCGAGCTCTCCAAGTCGCAGACCCTGGCATTCATCTTCTCGATGGAGTCCCGCAGGTCGGTCGTACATGCCGCGTGGATCCCCTCCATATGGGTGATGCGACTGTGGATGTCGTTGCCCATCGTTTGCATGTTCGTCGTGAGCTGGTCACAGCGCATTAGCTGCAGGTCCATCTGGGTCTTGAGCTTCGAGACTTCAGCGGAGCTGTTCGCCACTTGTTGGCTCAACCCTTGGAGCCCAGAGAGGATGAGGTCGAACTTAGCGTCCCGCGAGCTAGAGACCTCCCTGTTCGAGCGACTCTTAGAGCGAACCTCAGAGGAGCTGCCATCATTCGATCGCTCTCGGCGGTTGCCTCGAGCACGGTTGCCAGAGGCAGGCATGGGAACAGGAGGGGACGGGAAAGAGTGGCAGTGCAAGTGTGAAGCTCCAGCTGCTGGAGGGGCCCTCGAGCCTCCCCGTCGGCAGCGACCAAGGATCAATCCCCAGGGAACAGGATTGAGCCTTGAGCCAAAATGGCTTGAGCCAAAATGGCTACGGAGAGGCTCGATGACGATGATGCTCTCCCTTGACCCCCCGAGGCGGCCGCAAGCAATTTCAAGAAGCATCTTGGCAACATCGACCATGCCCTTCAGGCCCCTCCCCCCGCCGATGTTGTCGCGCGCAGAATGCAGGCATGGAGCTCCCAACTGACGCCCTTGTTGCGATTTCTCTAACATCCCCACGCTTGCGGACATTAGGGCTAAACTGCCGACAAGGGGTCGATGGGCCTGACGGGCTCCCCGCGTTTTTCTGGCTGCTTGCAATGCCAGCGTGCGATCGTTGAACCCTCCGCTTACCAATATTTCAGGCAGTCAGGCACGTTGGTACGATTTGAGGATTCGGCCCGAAGTCCCAAACCGCACGCAGGTGCCAGACTGTCGGTCCAGCAAGTCCAGGGGCCGTCGGCCCAGCCGGCCTGGGGAAAAGGGGTTTGGCAGCAGGTCGCGGGCGATGGGCGCAGCATCGGGCACCCGAAAACGAGTGCACGGGCCCCCGAAGACATCGAAGAGGAACCCCATTCCGGAGTGTCAACCTCGCCCCGGGCGCGGGATCTGGGTACGGATCCGCAACGGATCCTACGCGAATCCGATGCTTGTTGGACGGATCCTATGCGCATTCGACGGGTTTGGGACGGATCCGAATGATGAACACGTGCTGTGTTTGGAACGGATCCTGCCGGACCGCTGTACCGTGGCGTAACACTAATGAAAAAGCAGCGAAGGTCTCCGACGACTTACGCAAGGGCACGGGGCAGGCGCGACAGGGGGGGGGAAGGCACCTTCAGAATCCTACCGAGACGATCCTTCTGGGATTTTACTTCGCTGCTCCTCTGGAGTCCGATGGTTTGCCTGTCGCCCATTCTGAACACTGGACCTCGCCGTCGCTGGCGTCGTCGTCGTCGCCAACGCCGCCTTCGTCGCCGCCGCCGTCGCCGTCGCCGCCGTCGCCGACGTCGACGTGGCGGCCGTTCGGGACAATTCGGGCATCCTCGGAACGCTGCCGGCGGGGCGCAGTTGCTGGAAAGCATCACGAAGCTGGAAACCCGCCGAGAACCAGCGTAAACACCCGAAAACCTCGAACCTCGAGCGGGAGGACGAGGAGGAGGACCCCCCTGGGTCAGTAGCGAGGCCGCCAGCTGCCAGCACCTGCTATTAAACAAAGTATAGGCCTGGGGAGTGCGACGATATATGTATCGTCGCCGTCCGAGGAGGGATGACAAGGGAAGAGGAGGACGGATGGAGGAGGAGGAGGAGGAGGAGGAGGAGGAGAAAGAGGAAGAGGAGGAGGAGGAGGAGGAGAAGAAGGAGGGGGAGGACGGATGGATGGATGGATCGACGGACGGACGGACGGACGGACGGATGGATGGACGGATGGATGGATGGAGGAACGGACGGACGGACGGACGGACGGACGGACGGACGGACGGACGGACGGACGGACGGACGTACGGATGGATGGATGGATGGATGGATAGATGATGAGGAGGAGGAGAGGAGGAGGAAGAGGGCGGAGGATGGAGGAGGGAGGGAGGGCGGGAGGGAGGAGGGGGGAAGGGGGGAAGGGAGGAGGAGGAGGAGGAGGAGAAGGAGGAGGAGGAGAGGAGGAGGAGAGAGGAGGAGGAGGAGGAGACGACGAGGAGGAGAGGAGGAGGAGGAGGACGAGGAGGCCGAAGAGGACGACGACGAAGAGGACGAGGACCCCCCCCCCCCCGGTCAGTAGCGAGGCCGCGAGCTGCCAGCCCCTCGCCCCATGCGCGCCCGGGCCGCGCGGCGGCGACATGCGCCGCGCACGGGGGCGCCCGTGCCCCGCGGGGCCCGGGGGCTGCCGGGCGCCACCCCCGCAGGCCACCCCGGCTCCCTGAGGAGGGGGAGGAAGAGAGGGAGGAGGAGGATGAGGAGGAGGAGAAGGAGGAGGAGGAGGAGGAGAAGAGGAGGAGGAGGAGAAGGAGGTTGGAGGTTTCGGGGTTCGAGGCTTTCGGGTGTTTTCGCTGGTTCTCGGCGGTTTTCCAGTATCGTGTGCGTTTCAGCAGCTGGGTGATCTGGAGGTGCCAGGATCGTCCCGACCAGCCGCTGGGGAGCCGAGTGATGGAGAAGGAGCTGACATCCGCCGACCCTGTCGCCGTGTGTGGAGGTTTTTCCGTTCGAGTCGGGCTTTTCCCTTGGAGCCGGGAAAAATGATCCTCTGGCGAAAGACTGTTTACCCTACTCACGGTGTATACCTGGAACCCTTCACCATCTTGACCAAGCCCCCACCTACGCTTTTCACCATCGCCCCCAAATGGAATGATCATCACCGTGACCGCCCCTTCCCGTATTAATTGCTGTCAGCCTTGTCGCGGTCATGATTTGAACCGTTGCCGCGGCCATGCCATCAATCTTTACCGTGCTGATAATTGTAACCGTTTTCGAGGCCATGGCCTTCACCCCCTCGTATTCATGATCTTTTCCCGCTCCACTCGCCCTCGCATGCTCTTCGGGAGATGAAGAGATAAGGTAGTCCTGGTCCACTTGCGTCGAGATCCTACCCAATGGTTTTGTATTTGGACCCTCCGTTTGCACAACCCGATTTCGGGGCGCCCAGTCTCAGCTGTCCTGGCTCGAGGCCTCAAACGAGATTCACATTTGAAGCTGGAACTCAGCTACCAATGCCTCGCGATTCCCACCAGAACATGGCATGCGCGCCGCCAGCAACAGGCGCCAGGCGCAGGCGCTCCGTCGGCGCAGTTGGGGCTCCGCCGGCGAGCATGGTCGGCCCGGCGAACGGGGCGCAGCGCGCGCAGCAGGCGCCGCCCAAAACAGGACCAGGGCCATTCGTGTTTTCCCAACCATCCTGTGGTGCTGGGTCCTCGTTTTGAAGAGACGGTCCCCGCGCTACTCCTCCTCACGCTGCCCGTTCCCTCCTCCTCTCATCATCGTCATTGCCCGTTTCAGCACACCCTTCACACGCTTCGTGGCCCCACAAGGGGCTCCACCGAAGGTCCCAGCGCTCCCAGTACAGCGTTTCGTGGCCCCGTAGGGAGCTCCACCGAAGGTCACAGTTCCACCGCCCGCGTGCGCCCCCCCCTCGCCCAGCGCAATGCTACCGCCCGCGCGCGCCCCCCCACCCAGCACAGCGCTTCGTGACCCCATAGGGAGCTCCACCGAAGGCCCCAATGTTACCGCCGCATGCGCCCCCCTCCCCACCCAGTGCAGCGCTTCGTGGCCCCAGGAACCCCACCGAAGGTCTCAGTGCCACCGCCCGCACGCACCCTCCCCAACCAGCACAGCGTCCCGTGGCCCCACAGGGAGCTCCACTGACGGCCCCAGCGCTACCGCCCGCATGCGCCCCCCCCAATATGGGCATCATCGCTCATGATGGATCCGTTAAGCTATACTTCGGATATATAGGAATGAAGTAAGAAAAGAAAAACAGAATCTCTATGATCATCGCGCGCGCGGGACGCGCGCCGCCCTCAGCTCGCTCCCCGGGCCAATCCTTCAGAGCTGCGGGCAGCGTCGGCGGCGGCGGCGAGCGCAGGGAGCGAGCGGGGAGAGAGCATTGACAACTCCCTCGCGGCGGGCCGCGTATATCCCAAGATTCCAACCCAGCCCAGAGAGCGCCGCAGATTCCTGGCACCCCCCAGGGCACATTGGCCACCAAGAGCGCCAACCCCCAAAAGAAAACGCTTTACAACGACTGGGCAAAGGCGTCGATAATCCCGCCGGACCTGCCATGGGCAAGGTCGGAACGGGCCGACGTGCCCCGCGTGTATTTGCCCAGGCTCAAAAGGAGAAATGCCATTTCATGTGCAGGTACTTCGTCCTGTTCTCCTTCCACAAGGAGTGCCGTGGAAGCTGGGCCTCCTTGAGCATGTTCTTCGTCGCCTCGTAAATCGCGAGATGTAGTCCCCTTGTTATCATGCGCGGTGTCGCAGTCCTCCTGCGACCACCTTTGCCGCTTTCTGTTTCGCGCCCATTTTTCACCGTGCCCATGCTCATCCTAATGGTGGTTGCGATTCCAATGGTCCTGATACTGGATGCGCTGGCAACTGTCTCGCGTCGAATAGCTGCTCGACGCGCGATGCTCCGTTTTTGTCCATCTTGTACTCGGTGGCGCCATGGCGGCGTCGATGCGGGGCCAGTCAGCGCCTCGGCGAGCCACGACTCCCCGTCGCGGCCCCTGCTCCTCCGCCTCGACGGCGCCGGAGGCGGGCCCTGCCAGCGCGACGCGCGCGCCATCGCGGCGGGGGCGCCCGTCGGAAACGGCGGCCATCATGGGCCCCCGCGCGGGACTCGGGAGCGGGGAGAGGAGGGCGAGCAGCAGCAGTTACAGGAGTAACGGTTGCAGGATCAGCGACTGAGTCACCGCCCCTGGACTGGCTGGGATCATCTTCCACTGGGTCTGTCAAGGCCGGCGCAGGAACCCCTCCGACTGAGTCGGCAGCGGGCTCTGCAGCAGGCTCTTCCGAGGGACTCGAAACAACTGTAGGATTGGGCGATTCCACTGCCATGTCGATCGTCTCAATCCTCTGTGCGGGGCGACTTGCGGGCATCCCATCGCCAGCTACGCCGATATCAGGGGTGCCGCTGTCGCCATATGAACACAGGATGACGATGACAAATGTAAGATTTTGCTGTCCGCGTTTCAGCCAACTGGGTCCACATTTCCGGCCTGCATTTTGTAGTTGCTCCTTCCATTTGGTCCGGTTGACGAAGTCTGCCGTCGCATTCTGGATTGGCCAGGGGCCCGCGCGCATCTTTGCCTTGAGGCTGAGCCTCAATCCCGCGATCACTGTGTCCGACAGGTCGGACCTTCTGATGGTGTTCCTTGTATTGTAATCTAGCTCATAGTCCCTCCGCAT